GGGGTGAGTGTCTTGTACTGGGAAACGTCCTTTTTGTCATGGTATGTATAGTTTGAGAGATTCTTCTCTTACGGGTGAGAACTGATTGCTTAGAAGGTTAGCTACTTGAACACTGGAAACTCAGCATGCATAATATTTACCAAAGCAAATGTTAACATTGAATGTATGTTTTTTTTTCATCCCTGCTTTCAATATGTTCTGTCTTATAGCACCTTTTCGTGGAGAATTAATTGATGTGCCATAGGTTTGAGGATCCTTAAGGTAGGTTAGTCCTTTTTCTTATTTTTCCATGTGTGCGTTGTCATGGTGACAGAGTGTGTTGATCTCTGTTCTAACCCTGTAAAAATGCTCCCTGAGGTGAGTCCAGTGTTCAGGTAGAACTAACCTTAGGCATTCACTCTTTCTTTCCCCTTCGAAGGCAGCGGGAGAGTACAAGGCGTCCCTTTGTATTGTTTAAGGTACACCGGAGTTCATGGCGCCCGAGATGTATGAAGAGCACTACGACGAGGCCGTGGACGTCTACGCCTTTGGGATGTGTATGCTGGAGATGGCCTCTTCCGAGTACCCCTACAAAGAGTGTCACAACCCGGGTCAGATCTATCGCAAAGTCACGACTGTAAGCGCACTCTACTTTCTACTCGACTCTCCTCACAAACTTTTTTTCTTTTGATTGAATTTTTTTTTTTTTTTGTTGGTTGAAATTTTGTTCCTTCTTCCTTCTTATAAACCCTGCTGAGATTTCAGCACCGAGGATTATCCCTTCTAAATTCCACATTGTTTCCATTTTAGATTTTTCATAAAATTTATTCTCCATAGATGACACATTGTTGTTGTTGTTGAGCTTCTGTTTATTTATAATTGAATTGATGATTTATTCCAGGGGAAAATGTCTTGTTTTTCTTTCAGATGCTTGTAGGTAGGGTTGTAATTAATGAGCATTTTGTTTAGGTGGAGTGTATCATGGAGTTTGAACTTTTCAGGGTGTGCATCCAGAGGCGCTGGAAAAGGTCAGGGATCCTGAAATCCGAGAAATCATCGAAGGATGTATACAGACCAAGAAGGAAGAAAGGTAATGAAGAATTGTTTTTGTTTGGGTCTGATTTAACTGTCAGGCATTTGTACACACATGAATAATTGAGCAGTGGTCGAAATATGTGGAGATCAGCGTTTAGAATTAGTTTTTGATATTTCCTGGAAAATGCCGGGTTTAGTAAGTGGAAACATTGATGATGATGGTGGGATCATTGGTGTTGGCTATTGGTGTCTGTGTTGAGTGGCAGATGACGAAGGATGACGAAGTGTCTGGTCTCGCAGGTCAGTAGGTCCATCCCATGTTGCCATAAAAATTCCCCTGTTTATCTGATGTCACCAAAGATTACATTTTTGGAATGACAAGAGTTAATCTAGGTCTGGTGTGAGGTGTGGAGAGAGGTCGCAGTGAGTCACCGTCATCTCTGAACATTTATCTTTTGTTGACTGATAAAGAGTTAATGATGTCAAGAGCAGGAGAGATAGAAATTTAGGTGAAAGAATTGTAATGATAACCTAATCAAGAAAGAAGATTTAAATATTACAGATAATGCACTGTGAAAGAAGGTGACATTGAAGAGAATAGAGTTATGTCCTGTTACTGATTCAGGGTCCTTGTTTTTTGTTTTTTTAAAAGGGCGTTTACCCTGTCACGCATGCTTAATTGGATAGGAAATGTCTGAAAACAATGGATATTAAGTGAAGTTGACCGTTTTAATTGCAAATCATAATTTGGATTACTCACTTGGAAGATCCAATTTTTAACAGCATTCACCTGAAACTTAAAAAAAAGTTGACCTATTTTCCTAAAAAACTACACTGACACACACTTTTGAAACACAGTCCAACTGACAGGCGAGTACCTTTCAAGATTCACATTGAGATGTCTAGAGGGTCATAGGAGAAAATTACAAGCTTACTCTGAAATTTAAGGGCACGTTGGTGTCGCTGTCTCAAAATGGCCATTTTGTAGCCTAGGTTAATGTAAATTATTTATTGTACTGATTGTGTCAATGCATTCAAAGGGCGGTGCTGAACATGGGCCCAAATAAAGGAAACTTTTATTACTGGACCAAGATTTGAACCCCCCCAAATTTTTGTTTGGTTGCTGGCCTACTGGAGTGCCATGCAAAGTTACACTTGCATTGGTAACAGCCTTTGATAGTTTGTGTCCCTTTTTGAAAATGTTGAAATTGTCACAAATGTAATGTGTCTATGGTTTAGTTTAGAAAGAGTTTTAGTCCTTGCAACGCAATGAGGTTGTATAAGTGCCGAAGATTAGAGAGTAACAAATACAAAAAGAAGAAGAGATATGAATGGCAGGTGTTTGATAGGATAGAAGGAGCAAACCACTCGAGAGCACCCGCCAACCGTCTCTTTGATGATTATAGTATAGTTTTGAATGGGTTAAATGGATGTAATGCATGGTTGTTTGTTGTGTTTGCCTTGTCAGACTGACGGTGAAAGCTCTCTTGGCCCACGACTTCTTCTTGGAGGACACAGGCCTCCTGGTGGAGTTGATTCGCAACGAGGACGAGATCGCGGACAAGCAGGTGATCCCTCTGCGTCTGCGTGTGGTGGACCCCAAGAAGCGGAGGGATACGCACAAGGAGAACGAAGCCATACAGTTTGACTTTGACCTGGGGCAGGACCAGGCCGAGGAGATTGCTGCTGATTTGGTGGGTGCTACTTGGTAGCTTTAGGACAACTTCCCCAAAGCATTATTTTTTAAACTTTCTTGTATTTGAGCAATTTCTCTAAACGGATACGCCAGCTGTCTGACAGATTTGAGTTTTGAGCAGACTCCTCTCTATTTCCCTTTGTGTTCCAGGTGAAATATGATGAGTTATTGGTCTCTGTATCATGTTTACTTGTTTCCCTTTGGTGTTCCAGGGGAAATGTGATGGCTCTATAGACAGCAAAAGATCTTGTCAGTTTGTTCGTGTTTGAGCGCTTAATCAGCTGCTTTTACTGAGTGCTTCTCAGGAATCTGAGAATGTTTCCAAGTGCCCAAGGGTCTGATGGGGGGTATAATACAGATTGTAAAGCCCGCAGGTCTTGCTGTTGAGCGGGGACTTTTGCACTATATTCAAATGCAATTCTTCTTATTGTTGTTTAGTTAGTTTCCCTTACCAACTGTCCCCTTTTGTGTTGCAGGTGAAATCGGGCTTTCTGTTGGACGACGATAAGCGCATTGTGGCGAAACAGATTCGAGACAGGGTGGCGCAAGTAAGGAAAAATCGGGAAAAGAAAATTGGTGAATTGCAGCAGCTGCAACAGCAAAATATTAAATCTGCTGAGGTTAGAACGTTTGTGGAGAAAGTAGATCGTAGGGGTGCCACTCTCCCCAGATTGTTTTTTTATATATATTTTTCTTTGTGTGTTTGAATTCCGGAACTATAGGATGTTTACCCTGCTTTGTGCTTCTTTCACAGCACTTTCTTCCATATTCTTTATTGTTTGAATGTATGTGTTTTTAAGTCATTTTTTTTCTTCCTTTTAAAAAAAACAACTTTTTTGACTTTGAATCCGTTATTTCCGGAATGATGCCAGGCTTAGGTGGCACCTCTAAGATCAGATTGTGTGCACATAACAGCTTGACTCTCATTTCTGGTTGTTTTTTTTTCTTTTTTTTTTTACTTGCAATAATCACCCTTGGTTTTGATGTTGACACAGGGAAATGGAATGGCATATTTTGACCCTTTTGTCTGAAATATTCACGTTTGTGGACCTGATGCTAATTGTAAAGTTTGAGGGGAATAAAATTCCAGTGTGCAACCTTTATTAATCTAAATATCTAATCGTTTTTCCTGCTTGCGTTGATCGTAAATATAAAAGCTGAAACTGCTATTGTTGTAAGTTAGCTTGGTCTGGTTGGTGGATGTTGTAATCTCGCAGGTCTGTAAGTGCATAAACTGGTCGTAGTAGAGCAAGTCTTCATTTTCTGGAGATTAAGAACTGATGAGTCCCTTTACCCTGGTGTCAGTCGCCTGCGCTGGTCTTGAAGTGGTCGTCTGTGCAAAAGACTGGTCTACTGACAAATTAGGACAACGGTTTAGCTGAGACTAACATAGGTCTAGATATAGTTAATACTTTGCTTCATCACTCATTCCCACATCTGCACCACTACTGGGGGTTGAAGTCTTATTCCTTTCAATTTTTTTTTTCTTCTTATTTTAAAATTCTATATTTGAAGTCTGTTAGTCATAAGTAGTTGGGTGGAAAAAAATGAAGTAAACAGGTTTTGCACTTTGTTGAGATGCACAATTCCCATGGATGTTATGTTGGCAGTTGAAATATTTATTACAAGTGCATTGCATGGGGGTTGAGTTGAAGCAAATAGTGTGCTGCATGCTTATTTTGTAACACCATTTACACATTTACAGGGATAGGCATTCTCATCATTTAGTCTGGATTCAGGGGTGGGGGGGAACAGTGGTAAAAGTTTGTTTCATTACTTCTGGAGCAACAACTTTGTTGTTGTACAGGGATAGTATCATGAGAGATTTTTTTTTAGCCTGCTCAATGCTCGAAGCACTGAGAAGGAAATATTTGCCCAACCCTTGACAGGGGGCCCAAAACTACAGGAGCCTGGAGGAGCTGCGGGGAACAGTTTGTGATAGTTCATTCAATTACTTTTCCAGTAGTACCATAGTACCGGAGTACCAATCCTTTGTTGAAGACATTAGACAGCATTGTCAATGAGAATAATGTACCTTATTGTAATAGGTGCTTCGTAGTAAGTTAATTCAGGTGTAAAGGTGCAACATCCGTGACGGTAACTGGGTGCACTGTGGGTTTAATTCTGTGCTTGTGAAGTTTAAATATGTCAGTGGTTGGGATTTGTTTTGAGCTTTTGCCTATCCCTGTACCTAATGTTTAGAGCAGTGTGAGAACCATTTTAGATTGGTCTTTTATACAACTGCGCCCATGTGGTCATGTTTCACATTGGTAGTGAATTATTCCATTTCTAAGAAGTCCATGATTTGAACGAGTATTGAGTAAATGCCTTGATGAGACAGTGTTGCTAACTGAATGGAATCATAGACTGGTCTCTCTGAAAGTCACCAATACTGTCAGCTTCAGTAATTAAAATGACAAATGTCAGCATGTTTTTTTTTTCAAGAGAGAAGTCTAGATGGTACTTCTTATTTTTTTTCTGTACTTTAGGAATGGATTGTGTGATTTAAAAATGAATTACTGGAAAATGGCATTAACACATAATTGAATCCACATGAGGCAAATTTTAAAATTAATTGTTGTTGTAGCTGAATAAGTTATTGAATATTTAGTAAGTTATTGCATTTTTAAAGTGAATGTCAGTTTAGTTGTAACAAGTTTTACATTGTTCTGTCTGTCTGTGTGTGTAGGGAAGCCAGCAGCAAGTCCCCCAGACTCCAGTGCCGGGACAAGTGGCTTCTGTGGCCCACCCCCAACAACCAGCCACCAACATGTCACAGTCTCAGCAGCCACAGCCGCAGCAGCAGCAGCAGCAGCAACAACAACACCCAGGCCAGGTACCTGTACAGCTCCCCACTGTGCCTCCTCCTCCCCCTGACGTTTGTTCCTTTCACAGTTATCAGCAAGCCCCCTCTGCCCCCGGCGGTGCTGCCCCCTCTCCCCCACAGCGTGGCCATGTGCAGCCCCAGTCCTTGTTCCCCCCTCCCCCGGGCCCCGGACACACCTGTACTCTCCCCGGCCTGGTGTCCCCTGTGGGCGGCCCCTCCTACCACCAGCTGCACATGTTGCCTTCTAGCACGGACTTGTGCCCGGGTCACACCAGACTCTTGTCCCCCGTCCCCCCCATGAGTGCCCAGTGGCATTACCATCATCTCCCAGGTCTGGTGGGCCCTCCCTCCAGCCCTCACATAACCACGGCTCAGAGTATGTCCCTGCAGGCTCAGAGTTCGGGCCCGCTGCTACTAGGCACAGGCCAGCAGCCGCAGCCACATCCGCAGCACCCCCAGAACATGTGTGTAGTGCGGCCGGCGGCCGTGGAGGTGCTGGCAAACAATAGTGCTGCTCTGTCGGTGGGCCTGGGCACAGGTCTCACGCAGGTATTTCTTGTCCCCCCCCTCTCTCTCTCCCCCCCTGGCAAGACGCTAGCGACTCCTGCAGTGTTTGGTGTGCTTCTTCTTTTGGTACAAGCATAGCTGCCAACCAGTTAGGAAAAGATGTATTCCTTTCATTTTTGAGGGTCTGAGTACACAAGTCCCAGTTTGTTTTTTGTGTTGGAAGATTGTCTTTTCTAGTATTGCTCGTCATGCACACGCTGATGCTGAAACAACTTCTGAACTTTCAAAACCAGATTTGCAAATAATGATGACAATAAATCCCGTAAGTCGATTAGAATTTTTGGCCTCTTCTCTGCTTTGAATAGCTTGAATTTTGTTGAATGCAGAAAAGTGTATGTGAAGGGTTTCAAGGGGGTTACTTAGCCAGTGCCCATCGTCTTGACCTGCCGTTTGTGTTTTAGTTTTGCAAAGTTGGCAGCTATGTAAAAGTAAAGTATCGCAATCCCCCCCCCCCCCCCAGCTTTTAGACATCACAACAATGACAGCAGCTTGCTGATTCCGCTTCCTCTAAGACATAGCTGTGACCATTGGATGTTGCGGCCCAGCTCTCGCAGTTGGACACTGGGGGCCCATACTTTACTTTCCCCCCCATCTCCCTTCTCTGGTCCTTGTTGGTTCGTGTCAGTAGTGTTGTGATGGTGGTTTGTATCAGTAGTGTTGTCATGGTGGTTTGGTGGTTTTCAGTTTGGACAGAGTGAAATCTTCTTGTTTTTGTTTGGTTTCAGCTTGTTTTTTTTGTTTTTTACTTCAAGGTGTTGTGGTATTGTGTCTCGTTTTCTTTCAGCTCATAGTTTTTGTTTTTGGTGGCAGTTTTGTATTCCTTGCTTGTTGAGTGGCATGAATGTGTCTGTGATTACATCGCTTGTGATTGTGTGTGTAGCCAGCAGCCAGGAACTGGCGTAAAGTACAGACTTCAGTCTTCACTAGTGACTTTTATCACTTGATATTTGTGCTGTAGGCTATGAGCTACATACAACACTTGTTCTGTGTTTGTAGTTCATTTGTTCTTGTAGTTCGTGTCTTGCATGCTCATAGACTCAAGCCAGTTGATGTTGGCTTCTCTCTCTAAATCGTTTTTGGGGTGGAATTTGAATAGTGCAAATTCCAAGGTCTTAATGGTTTTTGGGTGGGATTTTCCCACAATTATTGTCATGATTGTTATGTTAATGTTTTTTATTTTGTTTTTCTTTTGGAGGTGGTATTTTTATTGGAGCTTAATGGTGATAAAGACATTTGACCCTCTCTTTTGCTGACTAGAATGCGAGATGAATCTGAATGATATAGTGAGGCGTTGTTGCACGATAGCTCGAGGAGTTTGGTATGCTGTGTGTGTTGAGTGAGTTGTATGTGGGTGAGGGGTGTTGTCAGGGGTCTGTACACTCTTCTAGGCAAAGGTGACAGGTTTTGTTCTTGGGCTGATTAGTTAGGCTCTGTGCCCGTCTTGTACAGGGATGGGCTTATACTTGAGACTGCATGTAGAGTTGACCTGTTTCTTTTTTATAAAGTCGACCTGTTTCTTTTTTAGGGCTGTACGAGCCATATGGTGTTATATCTTGGTAGGGCTTGTAGTTTTGTGATGGTGGAAGTACTGAATTAGTAGGTCTATTTCACGGCCAGCCTTGTTGCCTTTTTGTCACTTACCACCTCTAGTTTTCCCGTCTGTTCTCTGCTGTTGTTTCATTCTGTGGCGACTGAGGTATAGCTGTAAGGCTCTTCACTGTTGCACACAGGAGACCCAAGTTCGATTTCTGAGTGGGGAGAAATTTGTATCAAGTATATCGGTGTGTCTACACAGATTTTTTTCTTTCTTTGGGTTTACTGCTGTTTTTGGGTTAATTATGTTTGATTGAAATGGACTCGACTGCATTATGTTTGTGCTGTTTGTATTGAGTGAAATGATGTGGGTTGGCTGGGTTGATTGTTTGATGTGAGTGTTACGTTTTGAGTGTGTTCCCATCATCATTGTGAGTTGTGCTTTCCCTTGTCCAGGTATCGGGGAAGCCGGGCGTCCAACAGCCCCCGCCCGTGAGTGGAGCCTACTCCCCAACAGCCAATGCGAACTACCCACAGCAAGGCCTGCAGGGCACAGCTCACCAGGCCACTCAGCAGTCTCACGCTGTCGCTGAGGAACATGGTGAGCAACGCTACAGTTTGTGCGTTTGCGTGCGTATGTGTGTGTGTGCAGTGTACCACAGGCTTGGGCTGAGCTACTGAATGTAGGAAATGTCCCAGTTCCTGTGTCTGCCAGCAGAACTGTCACTAATGGATGTTTTGTCTCTCAGCCCTAAATGTAGATGTACATAGAGTTGTAAGTGTATCGCGTCTAGCCTGGACTATTGAGATGGAGTCTGTAAAGCAGCGCTATGAATGGTTGATGGGTGCTCTGGTGTGCTTTGCTCCATCAAACATATTTCATCCTTATTTCTCCTTTTCTTTGTTACTCACGAGCAACACCTTATAAAACTTTCAGTTCATATGACCTTATGCAGATGCGAGCACCATAAAACCTTACTAAAACAAATTTTCAGTAAAAACTAATACACTACTGGTATATTGATGTCTCCCTGGCAGGTACCGGTGACAAGACAGCTGATACTGGATCTTGTGTCAGTGACATCAACATCACTCACAGCAGCTCCCAGGTAATACTTCACCGTACCTACCGATTGATGCTTGTGTGTGTGTGTGTGTGTGAGTGAGTGTGTGTGTGTGCATGTTTTTGAGTGAGTGAGAGAGAGAGAGATAGAGAGAAATTATCTCTTTTTTTTAGTAAGAAAAGCAGGTGTGGTTTGCAGCAGACGCAGGGTTCCTGGAAGATTCTGGACTTGTTTGTTTGGTATTGCCCTTGTACCCTTGAACTTTTCAATGGAATGAAGAAATGGACGGCTGGCCAAATTCTCTCGTCTGATCAGTATGTAGACTTACTTCCATACTTGTGTAATACTGGAAAATATGCTTGGCAATGTTTGCTGTGTAAAGCTAACTAAGCCGAAGCTTTTGGAGTGTAGAAGATAGAAAGTGTGTGGTTGGCGGGTGCTCTGGTGTGGTTTGCTCCTTCTTTCTAAAGAAACATCTATTGTCTTTATCTTTTCTCCTTTTTGTAAATTACTCTTTTGTAACACCTCTATAATCTTCTACCATTATTTGAGCTCTTTGTGGTGCGAGTGCCTTTAAATAAAACAACCCTAAAAGATGAAAAAAATTATCGCATCTGATAAGAAAGTCGACTGCTTCTGACACAGACAAAAAGTGACTGCCGTGTATGTCTGTGTTGTCAAATCATTGACTCGGCTTCAGGATAGAGAAGGTGGAAAATGTTACTTGCTAGACGCACACCACCTATGTTTTAAAACATCTACAGACCCCTGAAATGAAATTTTAAAGAGTGACACTCACGCACCTCCAAAACTAAAAATATGTAGGTTTCATGCATAATATACGTACGTCTGTGCGTAATGGGGAGCCCTGGGGGTAAAAACACCTAACTTTTAACCAAGACATTTTTTACTTTCTTTCCCATCCTTCCAGCTGTCCTCCACTTCGTCAGCGAGCAACTTGCAAGGTGGAGACCACCCTTCTTCTCACCAGGTAGAGTCAACTTTCCTTTCCTTTTTTGTTCTGTAATGTTCGTAACATTCTGTGCAGTGATGTTCATTTCAGTTTGGTATTTCTGTTATTTTTTCATAAACTTGGAATGCTGTAGGACTAAAACACCTCATACAATGTAGACTTCGGTTTGAGAAAAAGAATAGGTGTGCTGTCTCAGTGGGTGGGTGCGGTGATGAGATGGGTGGTCAAGTATAGGGGTCTGGCAGATGTACGGACTCGCTGTCTGATGGATGGGTGCTTGTCCGCTGCTCTGCTGGGGTTTGCTTCTTCTTTCCCATCAAACATGTATTGTTCTTTTCTCTCCTCCTTCTTTTCTTTGTATGTTACTCTCTAGAAACACCTCAAATCTTCAGCACCTGTATGGCCTATATGTATTGCTAATGCTGTAAAACTCGTACTAAAAGTAAAAGATGGTCATACTGAGGTATGTGCTCGATTCTGTTGGGTTCAATAAAAGGAGAAAGTTGTGGGCACCATTGTTGGAGGGTTGCTATTTGGTGTTTTAGTCCTTGTGCATTGGTTGTAGAGTATTTCCAAAAAAATTTTGTTTTGTTTTACTTTTTTGTATTTGTTCATTCAGTTGTAAGTTAGTGTGTTTATGTTCTGGTTTGGTTTCCTCCCTTCGTAACCCCCTCACCCCCCACCCCCTTCATGCATGTGTCATGCTTGTCAAGAGGAATGCCCTTTCAAAGCTACTAAACAAAGTCATCTTTTTCTTTTGTTTGAATGTCATCTGTGGAAGAAAAATAAGACTCTGCTTTTGAAACAGCACATGCGTCTCCTGAGAAAGAGAAATGTAGAAATGATTAATGTTGTCAGAACATGTATGTGGCATCCGTGGCCCCGTGGTTAGGCTTTTGGACTCGCAATTGTAAAGTCAAAGGTTCGAATCCAGCCAGGGGCATGATGTTCTGTCCTTGGTAAAGGAATTTTCCTCTTTACCCAGGTGGGAATGGGTCATAGATGTTTAAAAATCTTTTCAGTTTGTTACTGTTTGAGCGCATGCAATTTGCAGCTTGCACTGTATACTTCTCGGGAAGCTGAGAATGTTTTTTGAGTTGTTTTAGGATCTGCTGGGCTAATAATTGTTTTATAACGGATAGAACATACTGTAGAGCATGTGTATGCGCTACATAAATGCTATTATTATTATTGTTTATTTATTTAAAACGCATATAAGGAATTAGGATCACTGGGAATGCGCAAATACTTTCTGATAAACCAAAGGAAGCTGCTTTTCTTTCTCAGTGTAGTAAACGTCGTTGTCTGTTTACTCTTCTTCTAATGTTCTAATCAACATTTTCTGTTGTTTGAAGAATGTGAGATGTATTTGGTTATGGTCCTCAATACTGACACCAACAAACCAACAACCCACAAATGATGAATTGCAGCTTATTTCATATTCATATCTACTATTGTTCAGAATGTGCATCTCTAACGTAAAATCGCCCTTGCCATCTGCTTGTGGGGGCTCACCCTGTGAACATTTTGCTTACTCACTCTTGACATGTGTTGATGCATGCTTGAGACGGTGGTCATCTGAGAGAGAAATAACAGTTGTTGGATTCTGTAACCCTGATTGACTGACAGAACTCTGTCCATTATGCATGCCACAGTGTGTACTCAGTGAGGCTACTTGTTCACTTTTTCTCCAGTAATGTAGAGAAACACCAGTGTTCTGACAGAGCGACACCCTATACACTATACACTACTATATTCACTTGTCCACAGCTCAGACTTAAGTGCAGGTTGCGGGAAAAGGTGTGTCCAGATATATCTCTCTTTTTTTTTCTTGAGTATTGAGCATGTATTGTTTTGTCCTTTTGTGTTACAAGCTAGACCAAGTGCTGGCTGGTCTTGTGGTGGGCTGAGCGATAGTTTGCTGTGAAGCACATACAAACATGCACACACATACACCCACACGCACTCACACACGCACTCACACACACATAAACACACACACACATATTTCGGTGGATGCTGGTAGGCTTTGTCTGTTGGAAATACTGAGATTGCCTCCAGCCACACACACACACACACTGCTGTAGCATAGCTGCCTGTCTTTTTGTCTGACTTTGGTGTTGTGGGCTCATGTATGGATTTTGTAACATCGGCTTGTTCTATATCAGTAACCCTTTCTTTTTTTTCTTTCTTGTTTCAATGTTGTGAACTGACCTTGGTTGGATGGTTTACTGTGTGCACTGTATGACTTGTGATAAGGTAGATGTAGTGATGGAGATTGTGGCATGTACCTAAACCATGCATCTGCTCAACCTCAAGAAAATGATTTTTTTAAAATCACAATACAAGAGAACCCCTTCTAAGTCATATTTTTCAATTTTTATTATCATGATTGTGTCAGTGTGCTTCTTTTGTGAACAGATAATGAACCTGATTTGTCTAAACAAATAGATCACTACAAGTAGTCATGTTAACCTCAGAATTGTGTACCTAGAACTCACCCTTGTTTACTCACCCTTTGACATTTGTCCATGATTTTTAAATAACCGCACTAAATGCATGTTCCTGAATGTCTCTCTACTTCTACCAGTGTTGGGGGTGAGGGTGGGTGTCAGATATGTGTTCAGACATCTGGGGTTATAGAAGGGAAAAGAATGGCGCTGTTTAGCCAGAAAATGGTAGAGGTCATCACTTGTTTTTCCGTAAGGCTCACCACCCTTACTGGACAGTCAGTTCTGGGAGCTCTCAGTAGTTTATTACCCCTGGAATGACGAGAACATTCTCAGCTTTCTGGAAAACAACAAAGCTTGTGGAAAAGTGTAGTTTTGTGTATTGACAGAATGAGGTGTAGTTTTCTCCAGGGCTGGGGTTGTTTGTGAGGTTGTCAGTGTGTAGATGATGTAGAAGCTTCTCAGCAGCAACCTGCACTCTGTGTATTTGCCTAGAAGGATGAAACCACAATCATTTCAACATAATTTCATCAATGCACAAAATGCTGACTATATGATTCACCATCACATTGCTGTTGAAGACCAAGTTTTAAGAAAAAAAAAATCTACACTGCTCCCAAATGTAGTGGAAGTAAACCAAGCTTTTTACCTCTCTTCCCCAACAATTTCCCCGCGCCAACAATGATTTTTTATGGTTTATTTTGACGCGTTGTGTTGCAGGCGTTTAGGTCTCAGGTGATATCAGTTTTCTCCCCCCTCTTTTCTCGTGCCAAGTCCCTGGGATGGAAGGAGGGGAAAAAGTATTTCCAAAAGGTTTCCCTTGACTTTGTGCTCACCATTGATCTCTGGTGCTGGGAGGGTTTGCTTTCTCCGGACACTAGTGTCCAACTTTACTCTGAGCTGGAGTTTTTTACAAGTTACAATTACTCTGCTAGCAAGAAGGGAGGATATTTCAAATTTCAAGGCAAGCAAGATAAGGGATGATGATATGTTTCTTTTTGTTCCATCAAAACTATTTTTGCTTTTGTGTCTGAATATTTTCTACATGCACTAGATCAGGTTAACTTTCCTTGTTTCGAGAAAGATTCTGTGCTACGGACACCACTGTTGTATACTCTCACCATTTGAATTTTTTTTACATTAAGGATTTGCCACAGTTAAAAAGTTTGCTGCCAAACTGTCATTAATGATATTGTTCCTTTTCTGTTTTGTTTTTTTCTTCAAATTTACCTGACAATATTAAGTGAACAAGTGTATTCAGTATTCTTCTTACAACTAGTTTAATGATGTAACTGTATGGTCAGGGGTCTGCTTGCTTGGGGCAGTGTGTATCTTCAGCCATGAACTTTCTCTCACTCTCTCTCTCTCTCTCTCTCTCCCCCCCCCCTCTCTCTCTCTCTCTCTCTCTCTCTCTCTCTCTCTCTCTCTCTCTCTCTCTCTCTCTCTCTCCCTCCCTCCCTCCCTCCCTCCCTCTCTCACTCTCTCTTTCCTTCCCTCCCTCTCCCTTGTCTGCCTCCCCTTGTCCACCACCCAGCCTCTCTCTTTCCTCTACAAAATGAAAGGTAGGACATACTTCATGGGAAAATAGATTTGATAAGGTCTCTGGCTTCTTAAGCCAATAGCCAAATAGATATGGACAGGGGGTGTTGGGATTTTCTTGTATGCTTGTCTTCATGTCACTTAAAAACCCATTTTGCTGTCCTTTCTCAGCTTTAAATTAGTGCAAATTGTATGAAAAACATAAATGCATTCACGCTCAGAATGGGCTACATAAAAAGAGGAAGGGAAGTCCAGACTTTAGAATGATTCTCCAGTGGGTCGAAAAAGTAGAAATTGAAGAAACTTGACTATGTGTAAGGAGACTAGAGATCATATGGCGCTGTGTCAGAATAAACGAGACGCTTTGCCGTTGTGACCGGCACTGAATGCTGAATAAGTCAACTGTAGTGGTTTGACCCTGTTGAAGAAAACACGATTTTGCCTTTTGATGAAGTTGTTATTGGTGTAATTTCCTTTGACAGAAGTGATACTGACGTCTAGACTGTTAAGTTACCAAACTATGTCCACAGGAATTGGGCTCACAATCCTGTCCCTACTTGTCATTTTCAACTCCATCCAAACACCCCCCCCCCCCCTTCAGAACTGTTATTTTCCTGGTGGTTTGAGAGCTCCTGGATTGCTTGTTACCTTTGTCTTGACATATGTGTAACCATGGTGTCTGGTTTTGGCAAGTTGCTTTTCCTGTTCTACTGAACGACATGATGAGCATTACGGGTTGTGGAAGATTTTGTTTTTCCCATTCATTGCTTGCTGGTGGATCTGTAATCCCAATGTCCTGCCTGGTATCTGAGTTGTTCTTTGAATGTCCTTTGTGAGCAAAGTAAGCAGTTCATAGAGTCTGAGATACAAGATTGGTTAGTGTCATCAAAAAGGCCTATATGACATTGTGAGCGTGACCACAAAAGGAGTAAATCGCCCAGTGTTTTAGAATCAAGAAAATAAAAAAAGCTGCAGTCAGAGATGTGAGAGAAGAAAGAGCTCAATATGTCAGTAACTGCCTGGAGTTTCTTAGGACTTACTATGATGCCCTATCCTGTAGAAAAGCAAAACTATTTAGTGAAAAGGAGACATGACATTTTTCCCTGCTTCCTTGACTTGTAGTGAGCATTTTTCCAAATGTTGATGACTAAACTAACAGTTTTAATTTCACCCATCGTCTCTTTTTAGTTTGCACAGACGGAATTGCCATAAGATGGGTCATGGATATTTTGTATTGGATTTGTGCTAGTTTGTTTTGTGTCCCTTTGTGTGACAAGTTCCCTGCTAGAAATTAACCAGCCCTGTACCGTCTCTCTCTGTGTGTGTCTAGGCTGGCAACCTGTCTCATCTGGACCTGTCGGCGGCCCAGCAGTACCAGCAGTCAGTACAGCAGTCGCAGCCGCAGAGCTCGGCGGCCATGTCGAACGCAGCCAGCCTCCAGGCCACGGCCACGCCCAGCGCGAGTGGACTCAACTCGAGCGCATCGGCTCTGGGCCTCAACGAGGAGTCATCCCACTCCAACAGGGACAGGTAACCTTTGACAGGTTAACTTTCCTTGTTTCGAGAAAGAATCTGTGCTACGGACACCACTGTTGTATACTCTCACCATTTAAACTTTTTTTACATTAAGGATTTGCCACAGTTAAAAAGTTTGCTGCCAAACTGTCATTAATGATATTGTTCCTTTTCTGTTTTGTTTTTTTCTTCAAATTTACCTGACAATATTAAGTGAACAAGTGTATTCAGTATTCTTCTTACAACTAGTTTAATGATGTTTACTCTGTATGGTCAGGGGTCTGCTTGCTTGGGGCAGTGTGTATCTTCAGCCATGAACTTTCTCTCACTCTCTCTCTCTCTCTCTCTCTCCCCCCCCCCTCTCTCTCTCTCTCTCTCTCTCTCTCTCTCTCTCTCTCTCTCTCTCTCTCTCTCTCTCTCTCCCTCCCTCCCTCCCTCCCTCCCTCTCTCTCACTCTCTCTTTCCTTCCCTCCCTCTCCCTTGTCTGCCTCCCCTTGTCCACCACCCAGCCTCTCTCTTTCCTCTACAAAATGAAAGGTAGGACATACTTCATGGGAAAATAGATTTGATAAGGTCTCTGGCTTCTTAAGCCAATAGCCAAATAGATATGGACAGGGGGTGTTGGGATTTTCTTGTATGCTTGTCTTCATGTCACTTAAAAACCCATTTTGCTGTCCTTTCTCAGCTTTAAATTAGTGCAAATTGTATGAAAAACATAAATGCATTCACGCTCAGAATGGGCTACATAAAAAGAGGAAGGGAAGTCCAGACTTTAGAATGATTCTCCAGTGGGTCGAAAAAGTAGAAATTGAAGAAACTTGACTATGTGTAAGGAGACTAGAGATCATATGGCGCTGTGTCAGAATAAACGAGACGCTTTGCCGTTGTGACCGGCACTGAATGCTGAATAGGTCAACTGTAGTGGTTTGACCCTGTTGAAGAAAACACGATTTTGCCTTTTGATGAAGTTGTTATTGGTGTAATTTCCTTTGACAGAAGTGATACTGACGTCTAGACTGTTAAGTTACCAAACTATGTCCACAGGAATTGGGCTCACAATCCTGTCCCTACTTGTCATTTTCAACTCCATCCAAACACCCCCCCCCCCCTTCAGAACTGTTATTTTCCTGGTGGTTTGAGAGCTCCTGGATTGCTTGTTACCTTTGTCTTGACATGTGTGTAACCATGGTGTCTGGTTTTGGCAAGTTGCTTTTCCTGTTCTACTGAATGACATGATGAGCATTACGGGTTGTGGAAGATTTTGTTTTTCCCATTCATTGCTTGCTGGTGGATCTGTAATCCCAATGTCCTGCCTGGTATCTGAGTTGTTCTTTGAATGTCCTTTGTGAGCAAAGTAAGCAGTTCATAGAGTCTGAGATAGAAGATTGGTTAGTGTCATCAAAAAGGCCTATATGACATTGTGAGCGTGACCACAAAAGGAGTAAATCGCCCAGTGTTTTAGAATCAAGAAAATAAAAAAAGCTGCAGTCAGAGATGTGAGAGAAGAAAGAGCTCAATATGTCAGTAACTGCCTGGAGTTTCTTAGGACTTACTATGATGCCCTATCCTGTAGAAAAGCAAAACTATTTAGTGAAAAGGAGACATGACATTTTTCCCTGCTTCCTTGACTTGTAGTGAGCATTTTTCCAAATGTTGATGACTAAACTAACAGTTTTAATTTCACCCATCGTCTCTTTTTAGTTTGCACAGACGGAATTGCCATAAGATGGGTCATGGATATTTTGTATTGGATTTGTGCTAGTTTGTTTTGTGTCCCTTTGTGTGACAAGTTCCCTGCTAGAAATTAACCAGCCCTGTACCGTCTCTCTCTGTGTGTGTCTAGGCTGGCAACCTGTCTCATCTGGACCTGTCGGCGGCCCAGCAGTACCAGCAGTCAGTACAGCAGTCGCAGCCGCAGAGCTCGGCGGCCATGTCGAACGCAGCCAGCCTCCAGGCCACGGCCACGCCCAGCGCGAGTGGACTCAACTCGAGCGCATCGGCTCTGGGCCTCAACGAGGAGTCATCCCACTCCAACAGGGACAGGTAACCTTTGACAAAACACTCACACACACACACACACACACACACACACACACACACACACACACACACACACACACACACACACACACACACACACACACTCCAATGAAAAACAACACAATTGGTAGAACCTGATAGAATAGAAGGTTGGCAAGATCTTCAAATGTCCTAAGTCTTAATAAAAAGCAACATTATTTATGAGAGAGGAGAAACTATTTTGTTCTTTCACAAATTCTACTAATTGTCAAATATCTTTTTTTGCATTTGTTTTAACTCGTAGAATTTGAAATCCCACAAAATATTTGTAAAGAAATGCAACCGACATTTAAATACTTTTTTTTAAACAGCTGGCTAATGATTTATGTCGGCTATGTCTATGTCTTCAAAGAAACATTTTTTTTTTTTCAGCGAGAACGAGTGTCAGGAGAAGGCGAAGAGGAAGACGCGTCGTCGCAAAAAGAACCTGGAGAAGCAGCACCCGAAGGTGACGATCATCTCGTACGACCAGGAGCTGGACGACGTGGAGGTGCTGCTGGAGGTGGCCAACAACAACCTGACCTGCAAGTTCCCCCGCAACTCCATACCCCGCGCCGACGAGGTTGAGGAGGATCTGGTACGTGTTTCATCACCACATCTGTTCTCTCCCCTCCCCTCCACACCTCTCCTCTCTTCTCCATCACCCACGTCACCTCTCTTCTCTCCTTCATCACCACATCTGTTCTCTCTCCTCCACCACCACACCTCTCCTCTCCTCCACACCTCTCCTCTCCTCCATTACACATCTCCTCTTTCTTCCACCATCACCGCACCTCTCCTCTCGCCCCAACACTTTTCCTCTCTCCTCCATCACCACACCTCTTCTCTCCCCTCCACACCTCTCCTCTCTTCTCCACACTTCTCTGATGCTCTTTTCTTTACTTAAAACTCAAACTCAATCTTTGGCACTTGTATGATCCAATTGTGCAGCAAGTGCGGTAAAAGTTGGACTATAACTAACGGATGTGCTTCTCTTTCCTCCCAACAAACACATGAACCGTCCAGCTTCCGGACGCGGGCAAGACTCAGATTGAGGGAGTGACGGGCCTGCTGCACCAGGTGATCCAGATAGTGACCCAGGAGGGGACCAACGCCGTTGGTCAGGTGCTCTCTCTCTCCCCCTCCTCCAGCCCCACCACCATCAGGAAGTTTAGGATCAACGTGGAGAGTAGGAAGGTAGGTGGCTCGTGGTGGCTCTACACACACACACACACACACACACACACA